TTGTTTGGAGCTCAACTTCTTAGAAGTCTGGAATATAGCTAAGAACCTGAAAGAAATGAGAAAATTAATTCTGAGCAGCAAAAACTAATGTTATAAAACTCATATTATAGGACCAGCCCCATAGACTAGTAGTTAAGGGAGCTGGATCTCACAGTTTGATCACAGTTAGAATCTCAGCACCAAGGGACCAGCAGATGGCGTAATGGCTATGTTGCTGAACTCCCATGTAGTTGACCATGGTTCGAGTCCTGGACCCGGTGGCTTAAACTCACGTCGGGCACGTGTGCATGTGTGCCCAAGATCCCGAGAGGAGAATAGAGGAGAAGGGATTGCGGCATGGCCATCCCCCCTGGGGGGTGATTTCTCACTTTCTGTCTCTCTGTCTCTCTGTGTCTTTCTGACAAGTGCACACACTTGATAGCAAAAAAAACCTCTCCAAAAAAAAGAATCTCAGCACCAGTGCCTTGAAAAACATACCGTGTGTGTGTGTGTGTGTGTGTACACATGTACATGTGTATGCCCAAAATCCTGACATGAAGGAGAAATGGAAGAGATTACAGCATCACTACACCCCACTGGGGTGGTTCCTTCTCCTTTCCTCTCCTTTTCCCTCTCTCTTTGGCAAGTGCGAATGCAGTCTGGCAAGTTTTTTAAAAAAGGAAAAAGCAAACTCACATAATAAAGCAAAACTATGCTCAGAATGTCTCCTGACCCATCACTCAAATTCTGTAAACTCTTACTTTGCACTCAATTCTCAGGCTGTCCACTCTATAGGGACACGACAAACCAGCAGCAGAGTGTTTGAAGCAGTAGACAAGTCCGGGCAACAGGAGCACTGGCCCAAGCACACTGACCGCGGGGCAGTGAGAGGAGACATAGGGAACTCCAGGCGCCCTACTCAGCCCTGGACTCAGTCCTGAGAAACAGGTGCCTCAGAACATCTTGTCTCTCCACTCCATCATCGCTCAGAACATGTCATCAAGAAAATACGTTTCTTTTTCCTTCAATTTTTTATGTGAGAATTTACTTACTAGAACTTTTGAAAGGCTTGACTTCACATAGCTAAAAATAAGGGCAAAGAAAAAAATGTGACAAAAGGGTAATTCTTGGCTATGCGGGCATCTTTATTGCTTATCCAAAATTACTTCCTTACACATTCTTTTTCGATATATACATTTATTATTTATACTTAATCATATATGCCTTTACAGTATACAAACATGGTTTCTTTTTCAGCATGAATACAGCACATATCAGTCAAGACAAAGACATTATCCTGGGAACCCACAGTTAGCATAATGGCTATGTCACTGGACTCCCACGTAGTCGACTGCGGTTCACATCCCAGACCTGGTGACTTAAAACTCACACCGGGCGCGTGTGCGTGTGTGCCCAAGATCCTGAGAGGAGAATGGAGGAGAAGGGATTGC